TCCATGGTAGGAATACAGACAGAAAAAAAATATAGATTTAAATCAATAAATAAATATGCATATAAATGTCGATTATATCAAGTCGAGGTATAGGACCAAAAAAAATCTTCACCACAAAACGGCGATACCAATATTTTTTTTATTTATACCACCGATTCTCCGAAACGACGGGACAGATTGTTAGAGATTTTTGAAGAAAAACGAATATGTTATTTAATATCCACAAAAAAAGGTCTAAAACATATAAAAAATTAAACAAACTAGCGGCTAAGCCATAGTCACTAAAATAACTGTCTCTTGCGGTACATACATATGTCCGTAATCTTAAAACGGTTGTTTTCCAAAGCTAATTAGTCATAAAAATAAAATATAATTATTAAATTAATAGACAATATAATAAATTTTACTGATAATATATCATAGGTCCGAAGCTATGTATTAAAATTTCATTAACAATGTTTTATTTATAAAGGCTGGGAAATAAACTATTGGGTACAATTGATATTCGCACCTTCGGACGGGTCTGGAATGAGGAATGAGTTCGCTAAACCCATCGAATTCAGTAGCGAATCGTACGAGCTCGGAATTATCAATTCTTATCTACTAAAAGTATGCTATGATTTATGTCGTTTGTATGGAAATTTTTTACATACGAGAGATATTTTTGATATACAGTACAACTTATTTTTGCGTTTAACATTCAAGACTCACTCACGGTGTGTTATCAGATCAAAAACATAAATGCGAACGTCCGGACAAGTTCTCTGCCAGTTAAATAGAAAACAAACGAGAATGTAAAATAAATACAATGACGTTACAGTTTGAAATTATTTAATGTGATATTATAAACTTGTTTGTTCTATGCATGTAATGACAACGATCCTGAAATTAATACCAGATTATTCGGTTTCTTATCTGTTCAAGTTTTTAACTTTAGCAGTTTCTCAAGTGGCTTATTAAGTAAGCAGTTTATTAATTTTTAAAACAACCTTAAATATCCCTTAACTAAACAATGCGGCGACGCGAGATTAAGTGATCAAGTTTAGCTCTAATATTTAGTGCAATAGAACTTATCTATATAAGCTTTGTCTTGACTATATGCCCTAATAACTTGACAGCGCCACTAGTAATAGTTGATCTGCCTACAGTTGCTCTGTCACCTGATAATTATTAAAATCACTATTTATTACAGCGATCAACTAAAGCGGAGCACGCGTCCTTGTAAGTGACAGTCTTTATTTTAGACCATATCTGTATTGTATTAGGAGTCTATTTAAGTAAACCTATTTCTACGCAATAGTCAGACTTAGTATCAATTCTAAATTCTATATTTTCAGAGGTAAGGTTTATTTTAATGTTTGTGTTGTATCAGCGAGGGTGGAGGCGCCGGCGCAGGTCTAACTAAACGTCGATGGAATGATTTTATTGGTTTTGATGTGATGAATATTATTTGTAATTTATGAATTAACTTTGAATTATAAGTAAATTTAATGTTAATTCTGTCAGATATTATTATTGAACGAAAATTAGAAGAGGTATTTATTACCTCCAAATGAATAATATTCAAATATAATCTATGCTTAGTTATTCGGCTTAAGTAAGATTTTTTTATGGTCTCACAAAGAATTGCTTATTTCTTGGTACTTTTGGGACAATTCTTACAAAACTTTATTTCATTACAAGTATTTTGAATGCTTTGGAAACGAAGTGTTTGTTACTACTTGAAGTCGTTAGCAATTGCTTCAGCATTTTTTTTTATAAATTGCTGGTACAACAAATAAAGAGTTCCAAACATTTGCTTCAACTGAGAGATAGACAAACATAAGGACAAGAAAAATATTAGATTAATACTTAAATTTTATATCCTGAGTTCTTTTACATAGCCAACACAAACTTTGCAAAATTTGTTTTATAAACAAAAGTACCTTTTTTATCATATATTTTATTTATTATATTTATATTTTAATAACTCAAGGAATTTGTTTCGTTACTTTAATTAAATGCACAAAAGTATCATTTCATAAGTAGGTGTTAACAAAAAACAAACAAAATCGCGCTAATGCATGGCCAAAACACCGCAATACTTACTTAGTTGTGACACAGAAATGGACAAACATCTTTGCGTAAGATTTTAATAGAAGACAAATACTTTAAGGATACAACTAAAGTTGTCCAGCTGATTTGATGGAAGGTGAGAGCAGTTAATTTGATATAATAATAGAATTACTCTAAAGTCATAAATACTCAAAAGACTAATACTCAGTTTGGTATATTTTATCCTTAAAAACATGAGAATTCATATAATGGGGGAATTCAATAAATACAAATAGGTTAATATTATCTTTAATTTCAAATTGTTAAGTCTGACTTTAAGATAATTCTGTAATATAAGCATATATTTCATTATTTCAACTTTTCATATATTTTCCTTTGCAACTGATTGAAATCACAATCCACAATCCGAACTTTAAAGTAAGGATGATGTTTTTGTTTTCCGCATTCATAAATATAAACAAAGTAAGGAAAATTGATTGCTAATTCATTTTTAACTCACCATGACTTTTAATTTAAGGTTATAGCTATTTATCGTATAAAAACATAAAAGGCAGAAACGGCTGAATTAAGGGCCGACTAGACGAAAACAGAGCATTAATAGTAGTTATATTTAAAAAAATGTAATGTTTGTTTTTAGAAGTTATAAGTTGCGTCCAACAATAATTATCTAATGTTATCAATAATTGTAAACAAGTCCATAATTAGAACACAAGTGATTTACTATCAAATGATTCAGAGAGTTTTTCAGAAGTTGAGTCACGCGGCCACGTTACAGTCATTAACTCGGTTATCGGGAGGATACAAATTGTTGTAATCTATTTTAGTATTTACACTATAAAACTGACTAAGTTCTCTTCAAATGAATGACTTGGGTCAACAGGACTGACTCGTTGCTTTATATACAACATCAAAAATTAAATGCTTAGGTATTTCCCGCGTCTATTATCGAATAATAAGTAATCGAACAACAAGGTTTTATTATCTTCACATTTCCTTTATTACTTAATGATAAGCTAAATAACGGATGACTAAAAAGAATAAAAACACGTGATATTCTAGTAAAATACTCATAATTTTTAAAATTTGCTCCCTAGACTTATACTGGTGACGTTTTTCCTTGATAAAATTGTTTGGAATTAACCATGGGATGACTTAATATCCAATGAATCCAATAATTCCATATTACACATAATTTTAGTTACGAAAACAACTTTATGTAATAGCTATTTATAAAACATTTAATTTCGTTAATTCCGAATTGGAACTGAACAGTTTTAGAGGATAATTTTTTTAATAAAATAATATCCAAACTAATTGGCTCTTATCTACCCTCGAGTCTGAAGCTAAAGCGACGTTTAGATAACACCAAGAAACACGTCAGTTGCTTTCATTACAGAATTCATTTCTCTTAATAATATCATTAAATTCTTTGATCTTACCAAACCCTTACAAACAGGACAACCTTACAACTTTTTAACGCAAACAAATGGAAACTGTATGTTACATTGTAGACATCCTTTCATAATTTACATTCTAGACATAAATGTAATTTTTCTATGCGGACAATTTTAAACGCTCTAAATACTGTGCTTCACGGATTATTAAAGATAAATTGCTATTTAAAATGTCTAAATTATTCTCAAGATCATTTTCCACGAGTCTGTCCATTGTTTTAAATGTTATTTTAAAAATCATATTATATATACTAATGCCCCGCTATGAGTTTTACCGAACTGATTCATATATTTATGTGAACTATGAATAATAGCACTAGTATTCAGTAGCAAAATTCACGCTATTTTATTTGACAGGTATTAGTTCTCAAGAAATATAATAATATGTTGATTTAAATTTAAAGCACATAGTTATTGAATTCAAATAAACGAGTCGTTACAATAATTTCCTAACCCAGTTCGTTAGATAAGAACACTTTACAAATAGACATACATTTCGAAATTCACGGAAATAGATTCCGTATGAACTTGACACGATCATTTCAAAATAATTTGTAATTAGAGTCGATAATGTGACCTTTTAAGTTTTATATTCTTTATCATTTCTTCTTCTTCCTTTGACGTTATCACAAAAAAAATAAAGTAATTGTACTAGAAATTTATATTTAAAATATACCGAAATAAATATTATTCTGATAGTTTCCATGCTTCTTGTTTGTTTTAATGGTCACAATTTTCGGGTACAGACCAACGTATTTTGAGCGAACCACCAATTCCAGTGTGTATGACGTGTTACAGTAACGTCATCGAGTCATATTAGCAAAAGCATTGTTACATGGTACGTGCTTTAAATTATGATTATCCATATCAACATTAAAATCATTATCATGAATACAACATTTCGTCCGTGACTTCGCTTTATTTTACATCACCGACTGTTTTATGAATTTCATTCAAATACGTCTCAAAGTTTTAGGGTTAAATAGCATGTATGTATATTTTTCAATACGAGTATCTCCTTTGTGCCATCAATAATAATTGGATTTTGCTCCGCCGGAAATTATTAAGTACAAAGTACCTTGCGGATTCCTGTCAAACATTTGTCATTCATTAAAAGGGCCGCTTTCTAACACTGATAAGATATCTGAGACAAATAAGTATTGAGTGTTACCAGTTATGTACAAAGAACGGATATTAATATAGCGAATAATTATATCTATTATTAAACGTTTAAATTATAATTTTAAATTTATATTAATTAATAATTATACTTCTTCCAAATATACACTAATAAGTAAATACGTTTGTTTCCTCTTTTATCCATCAGATTACGGTTATAAAAGTTTACTAAAATAGTCATTTGTTAAGACTAATGAAATGACATAAACTCGTACAAAATATTGGTTATTGGGAAATATGACACTGTATGTAATGGGTGCATAACAAGTTATTTGTAAGCTGAGCGACAAAAAAAATAAAATTGTATCTTACCCTGCACAAGGCGACGCCGGTATCCAATCTATCCAGGAAATTATCAGCGTTGATTCTGAGCTCGGGGTAAAGGACGGTCAGCCACTCGGCCAGGTCCTCTTTCATGGCATACAGGTACTCCTCGGAGGATTTGAAGGGCCTGAAAGGCCGAGCCTCCAAGAGAACTGCGCCAGCGCTTGCCATTTTGATTGCTGTCTACTGCTTTGTGGACATTACTGTTTCTGGAAGAAAATAGTTTCTTTAGGGTCTATGATCTTTTTATAAGGCATAATCTTAACCAAATTTCACAAAATGTACATATAAATTATAAAGATGTCCAAAGTAAAGATGCACAGACGTATTGATTAATGGCTTGCCCATGTTTAAATTAATATACATTAAAGCCAACCAATCAAAAATTACTCCTATCGTACGAGAAATACAAATTTTAAGTAGTTCGAAATGATGTCGCGCTTCGTTCCCCAAGTCAATTGAACGAGATTGTTACAAAATCATCACAAGTAATTTAATATTGAGTCGGTAAATAAATCTTTTTCATAGGGTTGCCTGGTAAACGAACTACAAAATATGAATATTTTTACGACTTTCGTTTAGATGTTGTATGTAAAAAAAATATATATAACCGACCAAGCTGGGAAAAAATAAAGAAGCTAATAAGATCTAAGATTTTTGAGACTCCAAATCCGAAACATATTAGTTTCATTTAAATAAAGAAGCTGTAAAATTTAATAAACAATAATATTGCACTTATAAAATCTACTAAATGTTACTAGAATGACAAGTCGATTTTGAACTGAACAGAATTTTCACCGGTTTATTATTTCTAAAGAAAAACCCTTTTCCTCCTTAGTATTCTTCAGGTTTTATCTGCGTCAGTAGCCACAAACCCTACTTTTTTCACTAACGTAATTTAGCCTTGCATCAACACTACTAATTTCCACGAATTAAGACCGTCCAACGTCTAGACTGGCAAAAAAAAAAAATTAATTGATTCCACATTGTTATGACCAATGATGTCGTTATGAAAACCGTTTATATACATTAAATATATCAGTGTATAATGAATTTCAAATTGAGATACATCACTCGAATTTCCGTCAAAATATGAATATTTACAGAAACGAGCCGACTTATCACTGTAACAGCCATAAAGCACGATGGGGTCAACGCCCTAAGTGCGACTAATTGGTATATTCGCTAAACGGTTACAACAGATGTCGTAGATTAATATTAAATATTGTATATAAATATAATCTTCATGTTACTATTTTTATCCATGAACAGAAAGAAGGATCAAGTAGTTTTAGGAAAGTTTTATTTGAAAACCACGACTTGCTAGTTGCTTGTAAAAAAATTACTTAAGTTAGTCAAAGTATAGAAAGTATTTTTAAAAAATTCAACAGGGTATAATTGTCGTATAAATAAATCAAATTGTTTTTCAATAGATCTGATTCCTCTTAATCTACAATCTTAATCTATTGCCAGTTGATAAACTGAATAAGCAAACGTGTGAAGTATGCGATCCTTTAAGAAGATGTAATCACAGACACAACGTTATAAATTTTCATTTAAATACAAAACCGTCATAAAATGTAATAATAAAATGTAACGTCAATTCTATAATAATATTTTATGGGGACTTTCCTCAATGTTCGTAATTGTTTGTGGAATTCAATTCACGATGAGCCTTGAGAACCTCGGCCGTGAGGCCAGATTATTTTAAAATAAAATATTTGAAATTCAACGAATTTTGCGCAAATAACATTAATATAAAATAACTTTTTCAGAAAAAAAAAAAAACAAATTACTTCTAGGAATTATTGCTTCATTTATTGCAACGTCATTTTATCTATCTCCGAAGGTTTTTGTGAAATCAAAATATACTTCTTCCGAGAATAATATGACATGGAATATAAAACTTTACATTGTTTAACGAAAACGCGATTAATAGTTTAAACTGTAGTGTAGATAAAAATAACGTTCACAAAAATATCATTCACAGAAATTTATATGTAATTTAATGTGGATAAATTTATTTATTTAAAAATATACAGTTGAGACGTGACAAAGTTAAAAGTGATTATTGAAATATCGTCTGATTCTAATAATTACAAATAAATAGTAAATTTTTAACTTTTCTCTGTTAAGTTCTCGGTAATTCACAATTTTAAGAAACATATTCTCAACTCCGATGATTCAAAAGACGAACTTGTGTTCCTTATACACATATGAAGAATTAAATCGAAATATATTCAATCGATACTTATCAAACAACAAGTAAATGTATCAACACAATGTCAAGTGGTGTTCAATTTTAAAACTACCGTCATATCTGGGAGTCATTGACACTGACCCACTAACACGAGTGAATCACTCCTGGACCAAACTTGGTTACAACTGCGAGTATGTATTGCAAACTACAGCTACAGCTGTAAGTGATACACACATACTAGAGTTGGACAAATACATCGATTTGTTTTCCATTTTTTAATACGTATTAATCCCCCAACGTATACACACTATTACAAATGTGTAATTATTATTTTTAACCGCTTTTTAATTCCATCGAATGATATTTTTTCTTTGTAAAGCTATCTTATGTTCCTTTGTGTCTTCGCTAGGATTTATTTTAAATTTCGCCTCCACCAACGAAGATAGGAATTGACGAAACGACAAGTAAAACTGAGTAAGAAGTACGATATATAGGTTTTGGTCTTAGACAAATATAACAAGGGTTTAAGACAGGGTAAGCAAAGAAAAGTAATAGTATTCGCTCTTTCCACGAGGAGAAACTTGTAAGGAAATGCGAAATTTTAAAAGAGACGTTTGTTGTATTTTCGATGGCTTATACCCAAAATAGAGACATCACTTTTTGTATGTTAGGAAATTACTGTAGCGTATCATTGATATTAGTAATAATATAAAATAACAAATACATAATGAGATGGTACCACGAAGACAAAGCCGGGCTTGCGTAACACCACGCACCGCTGACTTCCGTTGTCATATCGCGTACAGATAGCAAAAATAAAGAATTAATAATACTTATAGAATAAAACTATGACGAAGTATCATAAAGATTTATAGCGAGCAATGATATTATGCTAATACTTTATCCAAGTCGTAAAACCTTTTACGAGTTCATAAAAATACCTAACTGTTTATGTTTTTTTGGTATGTTTTCATATTTTTTCGCGAGCGGTACCTTTACTAGGCTAATAACCATTACTGCGTGGACATAAATACACCGACTAGTTCCTTCAGCATTGTCTGTCGGTTGCAAAACAGGGATTAACAACGTTTTACACAAAATAACACTTGGCATAGGTGAAGTAACAAAAAAAGCAAAAAAAAATAGTGTCAACACAACTTAAAATATGTACTTTAAATTTCTTACGGCACGATGGTACTTAATTGTTTAAACATATGAGAAGCAATTTTAATATGTTCAGTTATATATGTATAGAAATAAATGATTAACCAGAAGTGGTGCTGTATTAATACCGTACACATAACAATCCAACGGAAAATCGGCGGTTACAGCTAGTGTTTTATAATACGCCTCTTACTTTGCTTATCTTTAATATCTCCATCGATATTACGATAAGATATTACGTTTAATATCAATAAATAGCAATTTGAATATAAATATATTTTATGATTGTCAAAGCAAATTATTTTCGTGAATTATATTTTTTTCTTGTTCGGAATAACATTGGAAGAAATTTTTATAACCAAATAATTTTTTAAAACCAGTTAAATTTCTGAAGAAAAGTCAGATTCTTATTTTTAAAAAATGTGAATTATAAATACTACACTCCTTACATTTAAATTCTTAATACGTCATCGTTGATACAAACTTTTAATTACTAAATATTTAAACAAGAAGTATTATTTATTCATACCAAAATAAAGAATATTTTTTTTTGTAATTAAGAACGTATGTATAAGTAAAAAAGATATAAATATTCTTTGACACTGAACACGATATTAAGACAAGTATTTATTCTCTCTGATTAAAATACGAAAAAAATATGTATAGCACTTTTATGAACAGTATAAAATTATTATTATTACTTACGCAATAATATACTAAGTTAATATTGCAAATTTTTTTGTATCTCTAGTGAAGTTTTTGTTTTTCCCTTTGATACGAGTATCTTAGACATACTCTATCTTAACAACTCGGAGTTGTTTTAATTTTCTAGCTGTAAAACGATCATAAAGTAATTGTGAGTATTATATCTTGTTTTCGATACCTTATCGATGTATCAAATTGATAATATGACGCCAAAGAGTCTCGCTTGCTATTTTATATTTGAAATACTACTTCGAATCCATAATAATATATAAAGTACTAATAAATTAATATTATTACCTTATTTATTTATTGAGTTCTAAATCATAAATTACGAAATTAATATAAGCAGGGGTTGAAACTGAGAATTTTTTATATCAAATAGTTATACCACTATATTATTAAAACATTTTATATGCAATAATTAAAAATATATATTTTTATCATACGAACAATATTTCCTTATTTTTCAATACCTTGACAATATATGTAATGTCGATAAGATTTTATGATTGTTTTTTTTCTTTTTTATTTGTACACATATTTGTAAATAAATCGTAAATTTACTTTTCAAATAATAAAAGTAAATTTATATTCTCTTCTAATTAAGCTACATAATTTTATTTAGAACGAATTTATATTAATTAAGTTATGTAGCGGTCTGTCACCGTTCACCGACCACTGAAAAGAAATGTAAATAGTTTACCACAAGTTTTTCATCGTCTCATATACGGAACGTTTCCCGTTTGTCACTTATAAATCTTCGTATATAAATCGTAGTATTAATATACATTACTGAATTCAGTAATCTGCGTTCAGAACCGGAGAACGCTTCAAATATAGTGAAACGATACATACTAGTCGTAAGAATGCTACAGTCTTTTTGGACGTCGACCGAATATTCGGATATTCGTCGACTATATTCGTGAAATTAGAAGTAAAATTAAAAAAAAGTACCGATGTCATTATGTTTTAATTTAGCCTACTTTTATTTTTTTTATTTTGACAAAATAAAAACAGTATAGTTTCGCTAGTAAAAATATATGTATCGGAAAAGTATGTAGCGAAAATAAATTAAATATAATATTTATGTAGTATAATTTAT